TAAATTTCTTCTGTGATATAGCGTCCTTCTCTGTAGGACAGACCTCCCATGACTGGTGTGCCAGTAGCTGGTGTGAAAGATGGGTCCAGTCCATCAACATCAAAACTCAGATGAATTGGCCTTTTCTTTCTTAAAGGGAAAGGATATGGGAGCAGATTAAAAAAACTGTCAGAGTGTCTCTGCAAGAAACACAGCTTTTGTAAGAAAGTGAAAAAAAAATAAACAGGCACACAAACATAGATCAGATGAGAGTCTGAAGGAAGGGTGCCTGAAACTACAGGAGACTCCATGGGAAGAAGTTGTGGAGGAGAACTGGAAGGAGAAAGGCCCCCTGAGAGGCTTGGAGACCAGAAACAAGAGTAGGTAGAGCAGTTAACTTTCCCCTCCCTTGCATCTTGGACTACTGGTGGGCTCCTGAGCGGTTGGGAGACCTGCCAACATCAGCCCAGAGACAGCCACTGCCAGTGAGCAGTGAGCCTCTTGGGGACAGAGCACCAAACTCCCAGCTTCCTCCGGGCACCTCCCAGCCCACAGACCTAAGCCGATGGGCAGGCACCATATTGCTTCATTCTCCCCTTCCCCTTCCCTACCCACAGCTGCCGAGAGAGACAATTTAGCCACCACCTAGAGGCATCTGCAGGGAACAGGACCTTTCCTTTTGGGGCCCTGCAGTGGACTGAGGGGTACTCGGACTGTGAGCTCCCTACCTGCCAGCCCTCCCAGGCACTATTTGCCTGGTGACTCCAGGAGAGCAGGGCAAATCCCAAGACAAATGGATCCAACTTGGGCACCTCATTGGTGACTTGAGACCAGTACTCCTCTCCCTGGCAGGATCAGGGATTGATCTCCAGGGCCCAGGGGACAGGCCTGCAGACCAGATCCTGTACACCCAGGTATCGATTGCATTGCATGGGGGCAAAAAGGGATATTTGGGAATGAGCCTACTGAGGTGTGTGTGCCTTCAGAGGCAGATCAGTGTGCTTGCGGGGCAACCCTCCTCCCATGGGAAGGCCATGCCCCCAGCCCAGGCTGCGATCCTGGGCAGGGAAATTCTCAGCCCACATCATGGCCAGGGAAGATCCACTGGCTTGAGGTTCTGCCTGCTGGCAGAGGCCTGGGAGAAACTGCAGAATAGGGGAGGGTGGAAAGGAGTGAGGCCTGCTCCAGACTGCAGATCTCAGATAGCCCCACCCCCACATGCAGACTTTTTGGCTGAGTGGGGCTATTTCAGTCCCTCCCTGCAGCTTTTCCCAGAAGCAGAGAACAGACCTTTGAACCCTGCTAACATCATTTGTGGAGCTTGAGAGCAGGCGCATCCAACCCAGCTCTGCCCAGACTCACTCCCCAACCTGCGCCCACTGAGATGGAGAATAAGGACAAACCTGGAAGTCTGAGGGTCCCACCCACCACCTGAGGCACTAGAGTTCCTCTCCAGAGGAACAAGAGCTGGTTACAAGACCCCAAAACAACACTGCAGCCTGCTCCTCCTAGCAAGTGCCACCTACTGTCAGGGAGGTCATTCTGCACATGTTTTGACTGCATCTACTGACTGATCATAAAGTGTGTGGTGGAATCTCACCCACAAACACCACCTACTGGCTCAGAGACTAAAGAGGTCGTGTCATTATCCAAACAAAATCTAAAGGTAAGAAGCAACAGCTGATCCAGATGGGAAGGAATCAGCAAAAGAACTCTGGAAGTATGAAGAATCAAACGGAAAGTACACCCCCAAAGGGGAACACCAGCTATCTAGCAATACACATCAACCAAATTCAGAACACTAAAATGACAGAAGAAGAATTTCGACCATGGATTGTAAGAAAACTCAATGATATGCAAGAAAAAATGGATAACTAACACAAAGAAACCACAAAAAATAATCCAGGACTTGGAAGAAAAATTCACTAAAGAAATTGAAATATTAAAGAAAAATCAAACTGAACTCCTGGAAATGAAGAATTTAATCAAGGAATTAATTACAAAACACAGTGGAAAGCCTCAAGAACAGGGTAGATCAAACAGAAGAAATAATCTCAGGGATTGAAGATAACACCTTTCAATTAAATAAATCAGTCGCAGAGATAGAGCAGAGGAATAAGAGAAAAGAGCAAAGCCTACAAGAAATGTGGGATTTTGCGAAGAAGCCTAACATGAGAATCATAGACATCCCTGAGGGTAAAGAAGAAAATACACAAGGGTTGGATAAGCTATTTGAGGATATAATAGAGGAAAATTTCCCAGGCCTTGCTAAAAATCTAGATATCCAGGTACAAGAAGCTCAAAGGACTCCTGAGAGATTCATTGCAAACAGGAAGACACCACAACACAGTCATCAAACTGACCAAAACAACCACCAAAGAGGCCCTCTTACAAGCTGTAAGGTGAAAGAAGCAGGTAATCTACATAGGAAAATCCATCCGAATAGTGGCAGACTTCTCAACTGAAACCTTACAAGCCAGAAGAGACTAGGCACATAGTCTCACTCTTCTCAAAAAGAATAATGCCCACCCTAAAATCCTGTATCCTCCAAAACTAAATTTTGTTTACAAAGGAGAAATAAAGACCTTCTCAAATAAGCAAAGACTGAGGGAATTCACCAAGACAAGACCTGCCCTCCAGGAAGTACTCAAAACAGTGTTACACACGGATCAGCACAATAAACATTCATGAATGTAAAATCAACCAAAAGCTAATGGCCAAAGGCCAGATACCACAATGGCTCAAGAGAGAAAACAAAGCAACAAAGTTCAACTCAATAGGATTAACAGAAATCTGTCCCACTTCTCAATTCTCTCAATAAATGTGAATGGCTTGAACCATCCACAAAGAGACATAGCCTGGCCCAATGGATAAATATACACAAGCCAAGTATCTGCTGTCTTAGGGAAACATATCTAACCCACAAGGATGCATTCAAACTCAAGGTGAAGGGATAAAAAACTATATTTCAAGCAAATGAAAGCCAAAAGAAAGCTGGCATGGTAGTTCTAATTTCAGATAACTTAGTCTTCAAATAAACAAAAGTAATGAAAGACAAAGATGGTCATTACATAATGGTGAAGGGTACAGTTCAATAAGAAGACATAACAATTCTAAATATTTATGTACCCAACTCAGGTGCACCCAGATTCATAAAGCAAGTCCTACTTGATCTAAACAAAATGATAAACAGCAACACCATAATAGCTGGAGACTTCAACACCCCTCTGACAGAACAGGACAGATCCTCCACATAGAAAATTAACAAAGAAACAATGGACTTAAACAGAACTCTAGAACAAATGGGTCTGACTGACATTTACAGAACATTCTACCCCCAAACCACTGAATATATGTTTTTATCATCAGCTCATGAGACATTCTCTAAGATTGACAATATCCTAGGCCACAAAGCATGTTTCAAAAAATTTAAAAAAATA